CACATGCTGAAGTGTCTACATTCATGCACCACCTCACACCGCAAAACTCGTAAGCGTATTTACATACCAAAATTTTAATAAACTAGTATCTTACATAACAGAATTTTAGTAAAAATTACATTGAACAAATCTACACTTTTACTTGAAAAATTATACTACTGTACTACCTAGTGTGCAAGATGATTTTTTTTTTAATTACACTGACTTACTAAACTACTAAATGATATTTTTAAACATATTCCTTCCTGAAAATTTCCCGGGGTTCTAGAAAACTTTACTGATTGTGATTGAAAAAAGTGTTGGCTACTATTCTGTAGTTTGTTATGATATTTAAACAATTTAATTTGAAGCACCTTTACAAATTAACCAACAAAATGTCAGGCTTGATCAATATTTTCAAAAACAAATGGCTAGTCCAAGCATCTGTATCAAACACAAGTTAACTACAACTGTTTACTTTTTCTCCATAAGAAAACATATGAATTTTAAATGTACAGTTTTTCCAATTTCGGTACTTTGTTTTCATACGGAGGCCACATATTTTACAGCATGCTGCGGCGGTTATGTTAGTTGGGATTACCATAAATATGTTTGTAGGACTTTCCTAGTTTCGTTATAAATTGAACAATACCAGATGAGTCATACTTCCTATTTATGATAACCCAACCTAACATAAATAATAAATGCAGCGCGCTGTATAGTACCAAAGTAAGACAATTTCCCCTGTAGGGAACCTTCAACTGCACAACTAAGTTTCAAGAGCCTATACAAACACAATCCCTGTTATTTTTAACACCCTGTTACTGTGACCCGATCTTGTTGTTTCGCAAACTCATTCAAGCTTACCGAGTTTTACTATTTCATACCAAATTTAATCAAAATCACTCGACTCATCTCCACAGTTCCTGGTGTCCCTTTTAGAAGTTTGACTATTTCTAAAAAAACCATGGGTTCTTTACAAGAGTAAAAATTAAGTACCCTAACCTGTGGTCATTTTTAACGATCAACCTAGTATACAAATTAAATACCGCCACCACAACAATCCTGCATACTAAGCGAATTTCCATTTGCCTCATTTGATTTTCACTTGTAAATCTGTTTAAATAACATTAGGTAGCTTTAAAGAGTTCCTAGGTTTGCTGCTAAATGGAGGGTAATAAAGTGTGTTTTTTTAGTAAAATATTAATATTGCTTGGTATAAAATAAATACAATTTGCCAAGTTTGATCAAAATATGTAAATATATCCATAAACAAGCAAACTACAGAGTGTTTTTTTACGTGCAACCAAATTAAAAGTGCTGGGAGAAACATTTTAATGACTAAACATTCTTAGGCCTATATTTTGGTATGGTCCCTCGGTCCCTGTTTTATTTACTTCATTGCCGATCAGCAGATATGCGTTGTTGCATAGAGTTATCTATGAAGGTTTAGTGTTATTGGGAATTTATATTGTAAATAAGACACAACATGGCTTTTCCCTACCTCAAAGAGTTAGAATAATACCATAGATAAAACATGTTGGTTAGTCTGTGATAATATGTTGAAAGTAAATAATTGCTTTCATGCCAAGAGAGGTTTGAAATTAAGTCTCCAGGTTTGATTTCAGTACCGTACCTAAAATATCAACTGTTATTGACATGTACAAATTTAAGGAAACCAAATCTAAATATAAGGAAAACTTAAATCTGTAGTGAAAATCAAATCAGGCAAATGGAAATTCGCTAGTCTGCAGGTTTGTTGCGACGAGGGTATTTCTTGTTTACAGTATATAATACAAATTCAGTTTCCTTAAATTTGTACTATTATTGACATGTAAAAATTCAAACCTGTCTTGGCATAAAACCAATGATTTACTTTCAACAAATTATTCTAACTCTTTGAGAATTGGGATACCCCATGATGTGTTTTATTTACTACAATAAACTCCCAATAGGTAACACAAACTTTATAGATAACTATGAAACAAACAAGAAATAGCGAGTCCACGTCCTCCTATTGCTCATCACACTGGCCGGCTTATCACTCCCCTTTCACATTTCCTTCTACACCCACTATCAAATCTGCCGACTATCTCTCTCGCTCCTTTCACCAAGCATCTAAAGGCGGTGCACATCAACGCTCAGTCGTTACGTGCACAAATTGATGAGGTGAAGGAGATTTTCAGACACCAAGATTTTGATTTAATCACAGTTTGTGAGTTGAGGTTGAAGCCGAGTATTCCATCACAGGAAGTGAACCTCCCTGATTATTTTCTGCAGCGCAATGACGGAACTGGCAAGCAGGGTGGTGGTGTTGCAGTTTATATCAGGGAGGGAATCAATTTTAAAGTGGTAAATTGCTCAAACTCTGAGTACTCGGCAAAACCGGAATTTTTAATTGTTGAGGTTGGCCTATCTGCACCACCCACCTCTCCTACACTCCCCCCTCGACATTTCGCGCTCAACACTTTGTTTGCATCAAATCCACTCACTTAAAAAGTTACAAGTTACAACATTTCTTGCCTTTGCGCATAAAGTTACAAATGGTTAAATCACTTGTCTTTCCCCACTTCACTTACTGCAACTGTGATCAATGACATGACTGTAAAGCTCGCTGATGCTCTCCAACACGATCAGAACTACTGCTTAAGATTCATATATGATCTAAGATGCAGTGAGCGCATCACCCCTTTCTTCATTCATTCTAAGTTATTAAAGCTATGTGACCTGAGATCAATCAAAATTGTTTTGCTAACTTATTCAATATTAAAAACTTATTTTCCAAATTTTTTGCGGATGATTTTAGGTTTGTAGCTGAAGAAAGTGTTAAATACTCGAACGCTATGATTCATTAACTTTGCGTATGCCTCACCATAGGACCACAGTTTACGACAGAGCGTTTGTTGTAACTGCTTGCCGTCTTTGGAACAATCTCCCTTTAGCTATTAAATCCCTTGATAATGGTTTCCAGTTTGTGGCAGATAATATCTCTATTTTGAACCCATGGCTAAAGTTGGTTTGTCCTAGGGGCTTGTGCGCATAGGCGATCTCTGACACGTATGTGCGTGTAGTGTGTGTGTGTGTAAGTATTTGTAAAATTTACTGATTTTTGTTCAAAGGTTTTATATCTATGATTTCTGTTTTGCTATAGTAAATAGATTTTGTTAAAAACGATTAATCATATTTATGAGTACAGGTTAAGTGTAAGAACCCTAACTTTGCATGTGTAATTAAATGATTTTTCATCAAAAAACAAAAAATATCAGCTAATAGGCAATGAAGTAAAGAAAAGAGGAATACGGGATACTAAAATATAAGGCTGTTTTGTCATAAAAATGTGTCTCACAGTACTTTTAATTTGGGTTGCATGTTAAAAAAACACCCTGTATAACAGTTTAAATGCCTTACTTATTCACCATAAGAACAAGATGAAAATTTTAAATTGACCATTTTTAATTGAATTTTATTCATAACTAATGACATTAAAAAACACTTCAGTGCCGTATTTGTTTGAGTAAGCTCTTCAAAATGGGTTTTTTTTAGAGAGGATTAGAACATTTTATGTTTTGAGGGTAAAATATGAGAAAATATAATATGACTGGCTGGGTAGCTGAGTGGTTATAGTGCTCGCCGGTTCGATCCTGAGAAAAGTTAGTAGCTTTTTGATGGTTCGAAACTGGACCCAGCTGTTCCTGATCATTGGGCTTTAAATAAATGATCCTGACTAATGAAACCGCTGATCTTAGTCAGTAACAAAGCTACACAGGTCATCACACACCATTCTACACTCATCCTTCACTCATATTTGGGTTAAAATACGCACCTAGGTGACGTCCCCATCTCAATAATTGATTGAAAAATAAATTTTTTCCCCATAAAACCCCCACAAAACCACACTTTCGCATTTGTCGATCGTGCTGGTTTGCGAACTTGTTCAAATAAATGTGGGTTTACACCTTTGTACCGAATTTAACTTAATCAAAATCGGGTGATTTTTGCTCGGGTTATTGTGCTAACGCACATGTACCAATAGCCCTACCAATAGCCTAACTTAGTGTTATTTAACCTAATCTGAATGTACAATATGTGTGTTAGTCGAAACTTAAGAGCTTTGAAGTGGTTAAGATAATACCAACGGAAATATTGAAGAAAACAGCATAGCCTAATAACAAAAGAATAAAAACCATCAATACTAACCAAGTTACTAACACTGAGTGATAGCTTAAATTTTTGAAATCGCTTTAAAGGAAAAATGTATTAAAATGTTATCAAGCCTAAATTGGCTAGATTCTGTTTTTAAGCCAAACGTCAATACAGTAAAAAATGTTGAGCTTAATAAGTTAGGCAGTCCTTGTAAGTTTCAATTTTTCTGTCTTCTAAATTAAATATTTTCGATGGAGGGTCCCACTAAAATAGTAGGCCTACCAGTAAGTTGTTAACTTAACTTACTTTGCTAAAGTTATGATAACAAGAAAAAAACTACATAATAAATTATCTAGTTGATAAGTAAAATAGGCTATTTCAGGTACTAATTTTTCCCAGGTTAAGGTTTAGGTTGGTTGGGCCTAACATTCATCAGTCATCTGTTACCCATAGGGAGAGTTAATTCATGAATTGTAATTGGTTGTCCTATTTAACTCTCTTGCAGAATTACCCACAAATAAGTGATATGGAACACAAAACTGAAAATTGGCGTAACATTAACGTGTAGACATTTTTTTCTACCTTAGAAGCAATTTGTTTACCAACAAGGAAGACATTTGTAAAAAAACAGAATTATGCTGGGCTAACAAAAACGGCAATTAACAAATTTAAAGCGAATCAACCATTCAACTAGCAATCATAAGCGTAATTATGTAGTTGGTTGAGTAATCGTATAATGTTATAAATGTAAGAAATTGTTATTTTTCAGCGCAATTAAAAACTATTTCAGTTGGAGCTGAGGTCTGAACAGCCAAAACCTGTTGTTCTAATTTGAGGTAAAAATTACAAATTTAGAGTTTAAAAAGTGGTTTACTTACCCTCCTTGTGACTTCAGCAACTTCGCGCAAAATTTTATCCACCTGTGCCTTTTCTTCTGCCATTCTTTGAGTGTGTAAAGCTATTTTCTCCACAAATTTCCTTGGGTTCGTATTCGCCATGATGGCTGCTGCTAGTGACTGCTATCGCTATGTGCTGAGCTTTTCAATTTTTGGCAGACCACGATCTGTTGTTGTTTTCTGCTAACAAAGAGGAAAAAATCCACCAAACTAAATGACTATCATACGTGTAATAATGCAGTAATAGTTTAACAGAGTGATTTCATTATTCACGTTTTTTTTTTTATTAAAACTTACTTACTTGGCTATTTGTCCTCTTTAAATATCTTTGACCAATATAGATAGCGTTAATTTAATTTATTATTTATATATTTATATATTTATTACACGCACGGAAAATACCATTTTACAAGAGCGTTGAGTTGACATTAATAAGAACTGGTAACTTGGTCTATCTGGGATCCAGCTAATGATACGGCTAATAACGCTTGTTATTATTTTTTGCTCTCCCTATTTTTACATTTTAAAATAATTTTGATTTTCTTTTGAAGTGTTTATTTTCTATTTTTAGTTACGTTTTTTTGTGTTTCTTTCGGACTTTCAATAAATTTCATATAAGTTAACACATGAACGGGACGAACTCTGTCTTGAAACCTCCGAACCTAACCTATCATGAAGACCATAACTACACGTCAGCACTCAGCAAGTCAAAATATCACTACTGTCAACAGTGGTAAGCTTAACATTTTAGACGTCTCATCCAGTTCAGCACCACCAAACAAAATTGTCCTCACAAATTCATCCCGCCAATTTAGTAGAAGTTAACACAATGGATTGTTGTATTGTCTAGTGACTTTTAGAACTGGGAACTGGCAGATTCATTATCGTTTTTCGTCAGAAAGGGAGATTGGGACGTTCCGCTATGACAGAGAGACGTTTGTTTTCAGGAGGACAGAAAAGTTATACTGTATTGTACTTAAAAATGGTCAAAATGTGCTGTGTTAGTGCACGGTAGTCATCTGATGAAGCACGGCCGCCTTTAACTACAGGCCACGGCCTTCGAACTGGCAACGTCGCAAGTGGTGTTGTAACAGCAGATTTTTTTGAAAGCAACTTTTTGGTATTTGTGTATTTACGAAAGATTGGTTACTGGACTATGACAATATTGACTCCGCTTACAAAATGTACAGATATAGATTTTAATTCGTATTTCATATTGTTTCAATTTTCAATTCTGTATGTTTTATTTTCAATATTTTAATAAATTTATGTTAATAAATTAAAAATTAAATCAATAAAGTGCAAATTAATGATCTGATGTCACCTGTCTGCCATGTTATCTTATGGGACGTCTGTCACTGAACAACACCACTTGCGATGCTGCCAACTCTACCAGGCCGCGGCCTGGATGAAGACACATTTATTTTGATGGTGTACTGCCTTTGTTCACGGTATAATAATTTTGCGTTAAGACTTTATCAAGATCTGTGATCAAAGCTTGATAATTGTTCGATTCATGAAGAAAAATGGGTGGAATGCGAGATTTGTCAGAAGAGTTAGGAGATTCGTCAGTTTTGGTAGTGGCATAGATAAAAGGAGTATAGACAATGTCTATACTTTATTTATCAATTTTTTAATTTGACAATTGTCTACTTCTTTTAATCTATGGTAGTGGTTATAAACGGTAGTGGAAGCTAAAGACTAAATCTGTTTAGTATTATTGTTTTGTAGCGCTTCGTAGATGGTTGGAAGTGGGAAAGAGGATGATTTAGATTTGTTTCTATTGGATACTAGTTCAAATTCACTTGATTTACCTTCTTGGTCGTTTTCTAGCTCGATTCGTTACAGAAACGTTTGATCCAATTTGGACGCGTCAACACATACTATAGGTACGCAGTTCAGGGGCTACAAAATGGAATTTAAATAAAACTTATGATTGTAATTTCTTAAATATATTTTGGTTTTCTGTTTTTATTTCATTGTTATTTCGTCACCAGCATGGTAATCCATAAAGCACATGTTAATTTTGTTTAATTTCAAATTTATTTTTTTGTTCTTGTATATGATTTTAATTTTAAAATCTTAGCCTATTTGTCCAAAAGTTTAATTTTTAAAGAGATTCTAGACAGCTACAGGAAAATATCTTTCTAACAGTATGCGTAGAGTTCCCTTATGATGCACACGAGCTGAGAAAAAAAGGTTTTAAAGAAACATGCTTCTATTAATATATAGATTAGTGTGAAATACGATATACAACACTGTTTTTGTTGATTAAATATAACAGAGATTTAACAGGACGTAACAGCTATACAGGCATGTTGCGTGAAAAACTATATAAATAGATAATTTAAACAACGAAAACAAATGTAAATAAACGTCATCAGTATTCTGACACATCAGCGGTGTCTGAGTTTATCACTGCCAAACAAATATATATATATATATATATATACAAACATCCTCTTTTATACTTATATAAATGTAAATAATACCTCGCGGATATTTTTATGAGTATACTTTCCATAACACTGTACACTAATAAATAATCATTGATGATAGATACCGTCTTAACTGGCAACTCTGGTTTAACGGTTCACTGCTTTTATGTGGTGACGCCGACGCTGGCTGACCGCTGACCCGACGAGCGACGACGACGACAGCGACAGCTGTTGTGTTTGTTTCAGCCGTTCAGCGGCCAGCGGGTTGGGTTGAGTTGAGTCAGAGTCATTAATTGATAATTTTTGACATTGAGTTGAGTTGAGTTGCAGTTTGCAGTTAAGTCGTTGAATGAGGTTCGGGTACGGCTGCAGTATTCGGGCTCTCGTTCCCCATACTTTTTGAAGCAATGGAGTTTTAATTATTATTGCGTAATTTATTTAATATAGACAATGAGTGGTGATTTCACCGAAGTTGCCGATTCCTCTCATGGGGATGAGGATCAGTCGGTAGAGGTTGTTGAGTTTTCTTCATTCTTAAATTATTTACGTAAAGTTGTTGCCGTTCATTTTCACGAAGATGTTTCGGCACCACCCTCATTGGCGGCCGCTATTGACGATCGAAATAACCAGGATTGTATCAAAAAGTTCATCAGCGATCCACAAGTATCTGCCCTACTTGTGCAAAAAAGCTCCACTAAAGGTAGGCCTAAGTTAGGCTACAAGTTGTAGCTTGTGTAGTAGGCCTAGCCTCGTGGCTGCCCAGCATCGTCATTTACTGTAATTCCTGCTAGAACATGATTATAGCCTATTTGATTAACTTACTCTCATTTTAGGGTTTTAAAGAATGCTAGGTATGAATAAGTTAGGCCTAGGCCTATTGGGTGAAACTTTGATAGGCCTACCAAACTCTATAATAGCCTATCTGGTAATTATTGCGACGAACGTGACCATGGGAACCTATATAGATTTTTATATCACTAGAAACTAGATTTTTTGCTGAAAATAACGGTGCAAAAATTTTTCCGCGCTCACAAATATTAACGGAGTTACGGCTGTTTTAAGTTTTATTTACCTTTGTAAGTCTACTGACTAGCCTATTTAAATTGACGATATTTCCTCACCAGAAACTTTGTATAACTATTAAATTTATGTAAATTGTAAGTGATTTTAAGTAAATATTCGACTCACACTAACAATCAATAGGTTAATTAACGCAAACTTATTAATTTCAGCATAAAGAAAGTTCGGGAAACAAAATAGCTTATATGTACGCAGCTAAGTGAAATGGTTAGTGGTGACGGCATGATGGATTTGACAAAATCCAGTTCCAAGTTCCAGTAATCCAATCCACTCCACAAAATAGGCCAACATTGTTACTTTAACCATGTAGCTTTTATGCCCTTTCGAATCCTTATACATGCTTATACCTAGAATAAGGATTTTTACCTAGGCATACTTCTAAAGTCTAACAACTAACAACTACTATTAAACATACACTAACAAACAATGTTAGACTTCTCATTCCATTCTAAAATCTGAAGTTTTTTACATGTCTAGTTCATGTTGGTGACACTTGAGCGCTAGTGTCATAACACTTTGTTAAATATTATAAGAGAGTACTACAGTAAAGTATTATTAAATATATTAGTAATGAACTGTGCTTTACATTTGGTAATATAACCAGGGGATGAGTGATTGTGTTATTGACTTAAATAACACGTTGATTAGTCTATGAATACATATTAATATTAAAATAAAACTATTCTAAACTAACCTAACCAAACCAAACTTGCAATAGCATAAAATATAAGTATGATGACAGAAAAGGCATGTGTGGAAGGCAAGTCGGACTTTATGCGGATTCGTGACTGCATTAAGTCCTTTGAAGGTAGGTTAGATTAGGTAAGTTAAAGTGTAGGTTATAGTGAACTGAGTTGATAATTTATATTACACACAGGCAGTTGTTGTGCCATTAAAATAGTGTGTTAACCACAAAAAAATAACGATTTCAAAAATGCTTGCAGCATTTTTGAAGTCGTTATTTCATTGTGTTTAACACACTATTTTAATTGCACAACAACTGCCTGTGTGTAATATAAATTATCAACTCAGTTCACTATAACCTACACTTTACCTTCCTAATCTAACCTAACTTCAAAACACTTAATACAGTCACGAATCCGCATAAGCCCGACTTGCCTTCCACACATGCCTAAATAAAATCATTCTGAAATAAGTTATTCAGTGCCGTGTTGTTTCTTAGATGTTTGTAGCACATGTAATTGAAATGACTTGATTGACCCATTTTTATTCTCTTCTCTTCAATTTCGTTTTCGTATTTTCATTTTCATTTCAGGTTCAGTATAGTTGTACAAGTAAGGCCCGGTTTCCCCAACTCATTTAAACTTAGTTTTAAGTTAAACGGCGATTTAAACTTAGTTTAACTTTGATTTGTGTTTCCCCAAATTTAAACTAGTTATTAATCTAAGTTCAAACTAAACCACCTCTTGACTTGGTTTAACTACTGGGGATAAAATAAACTGAGTTCAAATTAGTAAATTACAACAGTAACATAACCTCAAATCAAAACAAATAGTAGGTGTTAAAACAATAATAATTTAAGCAACTACGAATTCATCTGGACGAAATTAGGCTTGGTTTAGGGGTAGCTTTAAG